TTGATTTGCTGAAATCAAAACAGTGACGTAATAGATGAGCACCAGCCAATGAGATTGCAGTTTGTGCAACAGCTCCGCCCACTATCGGAGAAACTGGCATATCTTCTGCTTGTTCTTAAAAGCTGAATAATTCTAAATTAACTCTGTTATTTTGACAGGAAAATACAACAAAGAATATGGTTTACATGTAGCGCGTCGATTCAGCATGGTATGCAAGACTCTCGCTCTCTCTCTTGCATGTGTGAGAAACACAGCGCTATCAGTAAAGCGATGGCGAGTCGTGCGCCTTCACACTAGTTTACGGTACGTCAAATACAGGTGCGCTGCGTGCTACATACTGCGCGTCCATGGAGTACGTGACATGATCCATTAAGCGCATCCAAATAGTACAGATCGCTTGACGGAGAGCGAAACTCTCAAGCGCTCAGTCAGCGTGTTTATCGAGTGAAATTATGTGTTGAACGCCTCTCACACACATACTGGCGTGTAAAATCTAAGAATTTATTAGCCAATGGCTAATGTTAGACATTATTTAGTCGCCCAGAGTAAGATTTAGTCGCATTTGCGAGTGATTTACTCGCAATATAGAGGGTTGGATATGTGTTATTTATAATTTATGATTCCTTGATTGGGATTTATGTTTAAAAAAGTGAAGCTAGCCTTCAAAAAAAGAACAGATCTATCATTATGATGTGACCACTTTCTCTGATGGGTGTAGCATAGCATTAGCCTTATGTCCATAAAAATTGACATGTGAACAAATGTATGTGTAAAGCCCACCTTACCACTTCCTGTGATTCAAAGAACCAATGTTTCTGAGAAATGTAACCAGATTTTATAATCGCTGATTGATAACGATGCTGCTAATTCAAACTCATGTGACAGTGTAGTGAATCTAAATAGGTCTTGTATGCTCAGAATCATGCACCATGTCAAGTTTACACTTTTACAATTGCCCTTTTCCCAATGCCAGTGTCACATATGTTCCCATTTGTGTTTTTGAATCCTATTGTACTACGTGTCACCATGCGTCGCCCTCTGAATAAAGGCTGTCTGGCTCCCAGCTTAAATATTGCAGCAAACTAAAAACCAACCATCAGACTGCATTCATTGACTTCTGCTCACTCGGGCGACAAGGATTGGAGGCCATAGGTGGGAACCAGAGAGCAAAAAGTTCACTTCACACCACAGTGTGCCAAGGGAAGGGGAACACAAATACTCTGGAGCTCTTACTGTGGCAAGTTGCCTATTTTATACTTTTTACCTGTATTGCTGTTTGTTCTACCTTTGGCGTGGACCTATGCATTTGATTCAGTTGTAGTGAATTTGGGGTCTTTTTTTTTAATAGTCGGATGTGACATTTTTTGAGAGTTTTTAGACGGGGTGAAAAAATCTAAAATGTGATTGCTTGGATTGGTTATCTTTCTAACTCTAGATGGTTATCTGATAATGCTGCAAATGTGATTAATTAATTCTATCACTAACATAATGACAGTTTACTGTTCACCATTCCAACATTGCTTGCGGGCAATCTACATCAAGTTTATTCCTAAATTTTCAATGCAAAAAACATTTCGCATCTCTGCCCACTTTTAAACATATCTTTTGTTTGCTCCGCAGTGCTGACAGTCAACCATGGGTGACTGGAGTTTTTTGGGCAACATCCTCGAGGAAGTAAATGAGCATTCGACGGTAATCGGTAGGGTGTGGCTCACGGTCCTCTTCATCTTCCGAATCCTCATCTTGGGCACGGCTGCGGAGTTCGTGTGGGGCGACGAGCAATCGGATTACATGTGCAACACGCAGCAGCCGGGTTGCGAGAACGTTTGCTACGACGAGGCCTTCCCCATCTCGCACATTCGCCTGTGGGTGCTCCAGATCATCTTTGTTTCCACACCCTCTTTGGTGTACGTGGGCCACGCTGTCCACCACGTACACATGGAGGAGAAGCGCAAGGAACGGGAGGAGGCTGAGCTTAACAGGCAGCAAGAGTTGAACGAGGAGAGGCTACCAATCGCGCCCGATCAGGGAAGCGTCCGTACGGCCAAGGAGATGAGCACAAAGGGCAGCAAGAAGTTCCGTCTAGAGGGCACTCTCTTGAGGACCTATATCTGCCATATTATCTTCAAGACTCTCTTTGAGGTAGGCTTTGTGGTGGGCCAGTACTACTTGTACGGCTTCCGAATCTTGCCACTCTACAAATGCAGCCGTTGGCCATGCCCAAACACGGTTGACTGCTTTGTCTCAAGACCTACCGAGAAAACCGTGTTCATCATCTTCATGTTAGCTGTGGCCTGTGTCTCACTTTTCCTCAACTTTGTGGAAATCAGCCATTTGGGCCTGAAAAAGATCCACTTTGTGTTCCGTAAACCCGTGCGGCCGCAAGTTGAGGGACCAGGAGCGTCCGAGAAGGCCTTGCCTTCCATAGTGTCCTCCTCCATCCAGAAAGCCAAAGGCTATAAGTTGCTGGAGGAGGACAAAGCCACATCGCACTTCTTCCTCCTGACTGAGGTAGGGGGAATGGAGGCTGGGCGGCTGCCGGCTCCGTACGAGCCATTTGAGGAGAAAACGGATGAAGCGACCACACCAAAGAAAGACGTGTCTAAGGTGTATGATGAAACACTGCCCTCCTACGCCCAGATGACCGTGATAGGACCAAGCGCAGCAGCAGGAGTTGTAAGCAGGGATGAAGATGAGGACGAGTTGGCCATCGAAGCAGATGTGGAAGCCAGCGAGACGATAGAAGACACGAGACCACTCAGCAGCCTGAGTAAGGCCAGCAGTCGGGCAAGGTCAGATGACTTGACGGTATAAATAATATAGAACTGGATTAGAAGTGCAGCAGTGTAATTTGTAGTTTTTTGGGAAAGTGTAGAAAGTAAAAATAAGAGAGAGAGCGAGAAAGAAAGATGTGCCTTTCAGCAACTGTGGGAACACTTATAATACCAGCTCTTTATTTTGAGGAAGAAACCGATTTGAAAAAAAATTATGCTGTGCAATTTTCATGTGAAAACTTTTTTTTTATGCAGCAGTATTTTTTGTACTGTTTTTATCAAACAGTTAACAAACCAAAGTTAGTGATCTGCAGCAGATAGATCTATGTAGGGAGGAGGGATTTAGAAAAATATGTGCTGTTTTTTTTTTTAAATAACATTTTCTATCCAGAATTTTGCTCGAAGGTGGGATTCTGATGTTTACATTTTTGGATTAGCCATTAGCTGAATGTTGTATGTGATATTTTGTTATTATTCTGATAAGAAAACTGTCAGGGCATCATCCTTTTCACCTCAGTAAGTTCAACCATACATGATGATAAACACTCAATCAAGCTTATTGATTTGTATGTGAATGGTCCTGTAATGGATATGTGTACTGTATGTGTGAGGTGAAGCAAATGCTGATAGTTGCACAGTCGTTCATCATGGCATAGTAGCAAAATATAAAGTATTTATTAAAAGAAATGACCACCACTGATTTACGTTAAACATAATACCTTGTTTCTGGTCTCACTGACTTACATTAAGAGTCTCTTGGAATTTTGCTCGAAGGTGGGATTCTGATGTTTACATTTTTGGATTAGCCATTAGCTGAATGTTGTATGTGATATTTTGTTATTATTCTGATAAGAAAACTGTCAGGGCATCATCCTTTTCACCTCAGTAAGTTCAACCATACATGATGATAAACACTCAATCAAGCTTATTGATTTGTATGTGAATGGTCCTGTAATGGATATGTGTACTGTATGTGTGAGGTGAAGCAAATGCTGATAGTTGCACAGTCGTTCATCATGGCATAGTAGCAAAATATAAAGTATTTATTAAAAGAAAGACCACCACTGATTTACGTTAAACATAATGCCTTGTTTCTGGTCTCACTGACTTACATTAAGAGTCTCTTGATTTCATAAACTGTAGGATAGAGTGTATCTAGCGATAACTGTAATAATTACATTAGCCATCGAAAAGATTGTAGGCCACATTCTTTCTAGTCTCTCTGCGCATACAGCCATGATGATGATGATAAAGATCACGCCCAATCAGCACAAAGTATTGTTCAGCAAGAGACAATAAAACAACATTACATGACATGTCACCACAGACAGTCTGACATCCTTGATGTTGTTGGAAACAACATTTTCATACTTTGGTCCTCCATGACATTTCATAAAAAAACAACAACAATATATCTTAAAGGGCTGAAGGATTTTGCCTCTTTATTGACTTAACATTTTTAGCAGAGACATGTCTTACATTTTAAACTATGCCTTCAAATTTAGCATGAAATATAAAAATAAAAAACATGTATGAGTATGAGTTTTTGATTGTTTATTTTATTTTAATTATTACTTCTGACCAACTAAATTGTCCCTTTGTTTGTAACGCTTTTCACAGTCACAACACATAATTTACTGAAATGTATAAAAAGGATTCATTTCATGTCAGATGAGTGTTTATGATAACTGGTATGTCAAATAAGTTAAAACCGCCTGCATGTTCTTTTCTCCTCTACCCTGCCAACAGTTTCATATTAGTTTGGACTGAATATAAAATTGTTGTATTTCATGTCGATGCCATGAGGTAAAGACAAACTTTTCCAGAACCTAAAGAATTGAATGAAACTAGAATTGAAAGGCTAATTTTCTGTACTATATGTTGTATGTGGATGGTATTATTTAATGGCCAAATCTGCTTGGGCAGACTGCATGAGGTGATGCAATATTAGACCCAGACATAAACAGCACAAAGATCATCAAGTAGGTCAAATAAAAAATTGCAGAAGTAAAAAGAAACCCATACAAGCAGAGGAACGGTCATCATTTTGCCCCCCTAGTTACTGTACTAATGTGAAGGATGGCATTGTCTGTTCACAAAACCTCAAAGCAGATGCTTAACAGCAGTTATTAAAGGGTTTATCTCTATTTTGTTTTTCTGATGAACAGTTCTTCACGGTGACTTTTCTGAGAACTGGTTCGTGGAAACAACAATAAAACACTGAGGGCTGTTACTGATAAGATAAGAGCATGACAGAGATTACTTCATAGGGAAGCTTGCTTTCATGATCTGTGAAATGCAAAATGAAACAGCCACTATGGCACACATTACCACAGAGTTTGCATCAGTGCAATAGTTATACATTTTGCTGTGGTCACAGACGTAGAGCAGACAGCGATCAGCCTGTTTGCCGAATCATAAAAGCACACATCAGATTTCGGAGTGATGACTATTGGTTCTTACCTGTGAGTTTCAATGGCAAATTGTACTGAGAAGTCACTTTGTTTAAGGCCTTCTGCCACATCATTTATAATTTCTTAAACAAGAAAACCGTGTTTTTTACTAACTTGTAGTCCTTTACTGCACCTATACAGAAATGATTGTCAGTTGAAACCTGTGGATATAGCCAATAAAAGGTCATGTGTGGTCAACAAGACTGTCTGTTAGCATTTATTAATATCACAATGTGAAAAAACATTCTTTCCAACACAAGCAAGTTTACATATACATGTCTCCCTCAAACACATACATCTAACTCTAAAAGACATACAGTACCAAATTTCTTAATTTGTGGAATATACATTATGCATATGCAATCTGTTAATAAAATGATACACAAATTACATATACATAAATCATATATGATTAGTATAGATTAAACATTAATTAGCTTTTTTAGATATAATTATTATAATTATATATTAATTTTTATTTTAATTGTATTGTTATAGATTGCCGAGTTTTAAGATTTTGCCAAAAAAAAACAAAAAAAAAAAACTGAACAAATTATTTAAAACATCCAAACTGCATGCTACTACCAAACTAGAAGAAAATGGTAATAATTCAGCACCGGGGTACTACCTCCTGATACATCATTGTACCATGGTATTGCCACAGTCCCTTTTGCAAGGTTAAGCTGAGACTCAGAACACTTTACTGCTCTCTTGTGGTCATTTGGTGAATTATTTTATTTCTACTAAAACATTTCCATTACAATTCTGCAAATTTGCAAATAAGATTTGAATGGGTAAAGATGCCATCATGGACAGGTGAAAACCATACTGATGTTTAATAAATTTAATACGCTCACTGGATTTTTGTCTAGTCTTTTTTTGTTTATTAGGACTTTTTTTTTTGGCTGAAAATTCTGAAAAGGTGTGAGATTTTGAAGAGCATTTCCTGTGTGAGGCTGCTGATAGGCAATGTGAAAATAGCCAACCAACCACAGTGCAACATGACATGCAGACTTCACTCACTTACTCACATTAACAACTATTGCAAGGCTTTACCAAGCAGCAGATATCAGAGGGTGAGTTTTACTGTGTCTTCAATGATTTACAACCACAGAGAAGTTTTTTAGCCTAGTCTTTATAAGAGGAAAACATTAATGCAGAATTATTTTCACTAATCTCATGCTATTTTGTAGGATGTCATTTTGAATTCAGCAAATGAATGGATAACAATGGGTTCCAATCAATCTGAGGGTGAGCTGAGACTTGATGATATATATATATATATATACATATATATATATATAATTCTGAACTAAACTGAGACAGAAGACAAGACAGATATTTATTAAATTACTAAATTAATTCTGAACTCAAAAATCTTCAGTGATGTTATGAATGCCATAAAGCAAAAAAAAAAGAAAGAAAGAAAAATGCAAAAATGGACATTATTATTATTTTTTCTTTCTTTCTTTTTTTTTTTTCGATACTTC